TCGAAAATCAGTAGCCGCGAGTTGAGCGACACTGAACTACGTCACAAGCCTGTCTCTCACTCTTTCCCCTTCTTCAGTATCATATCAAGCCAGTCTTTTAGCCTCTCTTTCTCTCATTTTTCTCTCTCGTTCAAGTCTTTCATAAAGCTTAAGATCGGATTTTCGTTTTTTCTTCTCATGGATCCTCAAGAACCGAGATTGAAAATTTCAATGATAAGAATAATAATCCCCAGTCCCCCTTTCTTCCTTATTAATGAATATTTCCTAAAAGATTTCATTTTTTCCTCCGCATAAAGAAAAAGAAAATCAAGACTTTCAATAATCTTTTTATATCCTCTTATAGCGATTTTAAGAAGAGAAAAAAAGTAAAAGTAGGGAAAAATTGAAATATTTTTCTAAATTCACTTTATAAAGTATGCGAGGGAACAAGTTGATTGTCACTGTCGAGCAATAACTCCGCAACGCCTTGATCTCAAAATGGCTCCCTTGATCTTCAATATATATAAAATATTTTCTCTTTTTTCTCTTTTAGTAAAAAAAAAGAATTTATAATTTAATAAATAAAAAATAAAACTCGATATTATTCCCAAGAGAAGAGACTAATAATCAGAAATTCATTTGAAAATAAGACTCGCGAGTCACTAAACACACAATGCTACACACTCTTGTTAATTAAACTCTGAGCAGAATACTTGAGAATTTCATTTGATATTTTCAACGGGGCTTTTATAAGACTATTGCGACATTATAACCTTCACTCGTTCAACACTATTTGTCTAACAAAAAAGAGACAAAAAAATCATAGATATCGAACATTTATTGTAAACAGAAATACACATTATTCGAAATAAACAATTTGGAAAAATTCCCCAATTATAATTTTCAATTTAATTAAACTGAAAATATTCAAAATATTAAAATTGCAAAAATTCAATTCTCTTATTTCTATTTAAAATTTAATAAAAAAAAAAATGAAAATATCAAAGTATAAAAATTCAAAAAGGTATTTTAAGTAAATTACTTCCTTTTCCCCTAATTTTCAGAGTGGGGAAGAAAAAATACTGGAAATTGGAACAAACCTTGAACATTGCTTTCATAAAGGAAAAAATAAGTTTTCAACTTTTGCGTCAAGCTTTCAATTCCAAATTCTAACGGAAACTAAAATCCTACTGGGGAGTCTGATCCTTGAAAAAGGTGTCTTACCTGGATTTCTCTCACTCTCTCAACGTCTTATTTCTATAAAGTCTTGACTTGAAAATATTTCTCAACTAAAATTTACTTAAAAATCACGACCGAAAATAACAAAAAAATAATAGTTTAAAAATCGGATTTTTTTCGGAAAAAGAAAAGAAGACAAAGGAGCGTCAAAGTTAAAATAAAAAGATATTCCAAAAATACAGAAGAATTTACAATAAACAAAAATATAAAAATCGAATTTTTAGAAACGAAATAACAACCCAAACATTCAATAAACAAAAAAACCAAATAAACAAATTGTAGCAAAATTTAGAAATTTTCCAGCACAACAAAATTTCGAAAAATAAATTCCAATTCGAAACAAAACTTTTATTTGTATTTAAAGTAAATTTTCGTCAAGAATGAGTTCAAGGTAAAATGTGATACAAATGGAGAGAAACACAAATATCGTTCGTATCGAGAAATTAACAAAATATTAAACTAGAATAATATTAGAAAAAGAGAAAAAAAAATTCTGGATCCTCGAAATGAGTGTCACTGTCGAACAATAACTTCGTGCCGCCGCGAGCTCTCAAAATGGCTGTCCTCAGCTATTATTACTTCGGGAAAAAACGAATGTCGGCTTGCTCACGCTACGAGGAGAGACAGCCAAGGCCCTGAACGTGTAGAATCCTCCTTGTTGAGTCTACTCCTCCTATTGAAAACATTGTGGCTCTTTGAGCTTCAACGAAAAAAAAATAATAATAATAACAATAATAATAAAGAAAACACTATTTTCTTTATTCCACCCAACTTTGTCATGTGAAATAAATATACAAAGAGCCAAGAAGAAAAATCGAGAGGGGGAAACTGTTTTTTTCACCCCTACATTCTACACTTTTATAAAAAAAAATATTACAATAATAATTTATATTCCCTGGACGAATGTTCACCAGAGCTTCAAATATTTGGACTTAATGGTTTAGCCTAATGGCTAAAAATAATAAAAATAATAAAAATAAAAATAATAATAATAATAATAGTAATAAATAATAATAATAATAATAATAATAATAATAATAATAATAATAATAATAACAATAAAAATAATAATAATAATAATAATAATAATAATAATAATATAATAATATTCATAGTAACAATGACAAAAATATTAATAATGATACATAACATTGATAACAAATTGAGAATTAAATAGCAGAATAAGCAATTTTTTTTAAACTACAATTGAACAAACAATTTTCAAATGGAAATTTAGAATTTAAATTGAACCGACGTTTTCAATTCCATATTTACCTAAGAAATTCCAACGAATTCGGTTATAAACGTTTATAAAGTTGTTACGTAATTTTATTGAAACATTTATGTAACTAATATTCAATTTTAGTTTAGAGACATTTTTTTAAATTATTTAGCATTCTAAATAGAATTTTTAAAAAAATTATCTAAGAAAATACCAAATAAATAATCAATCAAGGCAAACGAATTTTAGAAATCGAGTTACATTATGACAGCTTCTACTGTGAAAATATTTCATTTCCGTTTTAATATTTTATCTTCATGAAAATATATTCAGAAAAAGAATCCCAATGACAATTGTTATATCTGCGTTCTTTTAACAACATATTCTTTTATATTTATTATTATTATTATTATTATTATTATTATTATTATTATTATTATTATTGTATATTTTTATTTACTCAATATTGCCTTTTATTATTTATTACTATTTATTATATTATTTATTTTAGCAGATTTTAGTATTAGCTAAAAAAATGTCGAGTTGAAAGTAAAAATTAACTCAAGAATAACAACCGAAATCATTCAAATTTGATTCAGTTATGTTTTGAAAAAAAAGAAAATATTCTTGAAATAAAAAACAATACGAATTAAGAGTTTTTTTTTCCTCATGAAACATACTGAAGAATTTGATAAAATAAATTCTCTGCTTCGTGAGATAAATGAAAACGTTTCACGAGCGCATAAAACGTTTTGTAAAACATCAAGAGAAGACATTCAATTTTTCTTTGCGAATTCCATGAAAATGACAGTCGACACTTGATGAAACATAAATAACAAGAAAGTTTCAACAAATTTCTAACTAACTAACGAGGAAGTCAAAAACAAAAAAAAAGTTTAAATTTGAATATTTTTTTCAATGACATGAACTTTCGAAAAAAAAGCAAAAGTTTTTTCGAAGCAAAAACGAAATAATAAAAAGAAATAAACAAAATAAAAATGAACGAAATAAACAAAAAGAAAAAATTGTTTAAAATTTCTTGAAGCAAAAATCAAGACGAAATTTTTCAATTATTAGAAACTGAAGAAGAAAAATATTTTTTCATTTTCTGAAAATTTACAATCAAGAACCAAGAGGTAGAATCTCAGCCCATAACTAAAATTACCTGATATTTCCAGGGTCAAATTGCCCTTTTATACCGAAATTTAACTGCAATTCACCAAAATTCATAAATTCAAGGGAAAAAATTGAACAATAGAATTAAAAAAAAATACCCACCCAGAAAAACTTTACACAATCGTGATTTTTCAAAAACCCTATGCAATAAATTTAACAAAAGTCATTTTGAAAATGTTTCCCTACGAAAATTAGTAAAAGAAGAAAATCTACGAGAAGAGAAAAAAAATTCAGTCGAGAAAATAAAGAAAAATCCTTCAAGCAATACGAATATTGTCTAACAATTAAAATCAAAACTCCTGAAATTCATCTGCAAAATTTTATTCTTTTAATCTTTGCTCTGTTCAAAACTTTAGAAAAACTATAATAAAATGAAGAAGTTCTTATTAAATATAGAAATAGAATATAGAAATATTCTTAATTTACAAATAAATATTCTAAAATTAAGAATATGTGACGCTCCACGAGAAAAGGGACCTTATTTACTCTTGTCATAAGGTCCCTTTTCTCGTGGAGCGTCACATATAATTTTTTTTGTGTATTAATTTGAATTTATGAAAATAATAATGACGTTTATTATTTCGATTATTGTAAAATAACTTTTACTGCAGTAATTTGCGCAAGAAACTTTGAAAAATAAAATACAATACAAAATACAATACAATACAAAAATAATAAAAATGATATAATTTATAGATTAAGTGATTCGGGGGTAAGAAATATTTTCGAACGTTCAAATGAACGAAATTTATTGATTTCTTCTTCAAATTAAATTTTTATTACAATAATTTTGTGTCACTATTCAAAAAAATTATTGATAAAGTGTCTAAATATAAAAAAAAGGTTATTAATTTTCACTGTAACTAGTAATTTACGAAAATATTTCGCTAATTTGAACGTTCAAAACTTCTGAATCATAAATATTTTATCCATTTAAATGAAATATCAACTGAAAAAATTTTTGGCTAAGTTTTAAACACTAACTAAAATCCCGGTTGAATTAACCAGAATTTATTAGAATTCCGATTAATAAAGAAGAATTATTAAAGCTAAATATTCCCTAACCGGAATTCTAGTTGGAGTACCTAGAATTTTCCTAATTCTAAACAGAATTTATTACCAGTTTCTCGTAATTTTTCTAAAAATATTTAACGCTAACACGAACAGTTTAACAAGTAGTGAATTCAATTCGTTCAAGTCTAAAAGCATTTTCTATTCAAAAGACTCGAATCTCGAGTGCGGAATGTCGCAGTAACTGGTACGATGCCAGTTAACCGACTACTCACTGACGAACTGTCTTTTCAGTAACCCAAAGACAAAAAAAAAAAAAAAGAAAGAACGATGTAGAACAAAATTAGAAAAGAGAAATAATGCAAAAACTCACCTTTTGAAGTGCTCTCTTATTCGATCCTCACGGACGTTTTCCGGCAGATTTCCAACCCACAGGTGACGTGTCTCTCTAACCATTTTGCTCCGAACTCTTCATTTGGGATCGGATGTTGTGGTATCGTTTGGCGGCACTGTACAACGACACACAACTTCGACCGATATTAATAAACGACTTCCACAAAAAACACTCACTTCACAAATCTCCTCTCCCTTTATCCAAATTTCCTTATTTTTTTTTTCAAAAACAAAAAAAACTTTTCCTCTGCTTTGAAACACACCCTTTCAGTGAGTCTCCGAGCGCCGGTTCAATATTGCCATGAGGCAAGAGAAGAACCAAAGGCGCTCGCTTTCGCGAGCAAACGATGACCGTTATACTCCTCAATTCTCTCTTTTTTTCACCCAAAAAGCAGAAAAAAAAGAAAGAACAAAACTTTAAATTCCCTTTTAAATTCAAATTTTTTTCTCTTCCAAAAAAAAACAAACACACTAATAACTTATAAATCGTTGACCCCTGATTGGGGGCTGATTGCAGCAAGGACAAGGGTCAACGACAAAAAGTGGCTCGTTATCACACTCCACCGCGTTCGAAAAACTGCAGGACTCACCACTATCAGCTTCAACGAGGAGGAGGCGGAGATATTTCGCCCTACACCACATCGTACACACTTCGAATATCACTTTACTCGTCACACACGAGATATTCACCTGGGAGTGACCCATCCCGTTCAGATTGCGACATTTTTTTTCCACTCACGATCCTACCTGCCTCCTCGTTTCAATAAAAAAAAAATATATACTAATCACGTTTCTTTCACCTACACTTAATTTTCATCCCCCCCTCCAAACACCAAAAATTAATGTAAAAAAAGGCAGAACTTGAAAAAATAATCTCAAGCTTTCCAATATAAACCAGTGACGTTTCGATGTGCCTTCTCCACTTGCACCGAGTTCACATCCACTGGAATTTTTTTTACCGAAGACACACTATTTTCTTTTTTTTTAAAGGAAAAAAAGGTTATCCTGTTATTTTTGGGGGGTAGTTATTAAACTGATAACTTGTTTGGGAACATGTCCCTAACATTTAATCAATTTTTGGGAAGGGGAATAAATGCACGCGGGAAATTTTCTTTTTTCCTACTATATACTAGAGACACTTGTGTTGCAAGAATTGGGTTTCACTGTATTTTTGTTTCGTTTCACTTGGGTATGTACACGGACGGAGTGTACATCCTTCTCACTGCACTACACTACTCAGAGTGACGTCACCGTGGCGGGAGCATAGCATGGCTCGCCGGCCAGACATTGTGAGAGTCGTGGAGAGGGGAACGTTGGAGGAGAGCGAAGCGAGTCTACTCGACAGAGAAGCGGTCCGCCTATCGCTTTTCGCGCTGTGGTGGGGAATTTGGGTTCATGATGGAGTGAAGAGAGTCTAAAGAGAGGGGGTGGCTGCTCAAGATGGCTGAAGGGTAGAGGGGGAAATGTGGAATCGACACAGTAGCGTAGTCATATTCACTGGGGCCCTTTAATTAATTTTCATTAATTTAAAGTTTTTTTCTATTTTTCTTGTTAATATTTGTATTTTTTTTTGTATAATTCAATGGTAAAACAAAATTCTTATATTTATATTGCAAGGGGTTTTTTAATTTTGTTCAAAATTTAACGATTTTCAGGGCTGGAGGGAGAATATTTTCGAAAAATATTTGTCTTTTCTAATTTTAATTTTCAAGTGAAATTTAATGTAATTGAACTTTTATTTAATTGAATTAGTTATAAAGGAAGAATATTGAGGATAGTCAAATTAAAAGTTAATCCAGGGCCGTAATTTGAATTTTAAGATTAAAAAAAAAGTTTAATTTTGTTGAAAAAGTAAGGAATGTAATTTTGAATCATTTTAAACAAACGTATAAAAACAAATTTTAAATTTATTTTGTTGATAAGGTGAAGAATTTTATGAACATTTTGCAAAAATAAAAAGATAAATAAATTTTAATAAAAATTAAAAAAAGAGATAAAAATAGTTCAATTGAATTAAAAGCAGATAGAAATTTAATAAATATTATACTGAACATATGTTTTGAATTAAAATATACAAAGCACGTACCTTTTTCATAAAATTGAATATTTGTGTTGAAAATAAACAATGTTGGGTTCGATGAGACGGGAATAAAAGTCATCCTTGCTGAATTATTTGAAGATGAGTTTTTTCGTTTCAGAGAATTGAGACTTGAATCGTACGATTTTAATAAAATATATATACGTGTCTGGTCTTTCCTTGATTCTTATTCCATTTTCAAGTGCCACCTTCCTTCATATAATGAAAAACGATCTTCATTATAACTCTGACTTGTATAAATGCTGAAAATAATGCAAAATGTCAAGTCAGTGTTTTCTGAGATATAGAAGCTCTATTAAAGCAGATGTATCAATACGAGAGGGAATTACACTTATATATGTATACACATATACAACACAAGGAAATAAACAACTTTTTCAACTTAATAATACAGCAAACATAACATTTCTTGATATTTCACCTTTTTTATTAACATTATAATAATTTTTACTATATTGTTATTACTACTACTCACAATTTTCTTAAAAATATCAAATTGACACTATAAAGTACCGATCAAATTGATGCTAAAAATTTCCTAATTTTTCCCGGCTTTTTTTTCTCATCAAATTTAAATTTATTTGATTTTGAATAAAAATAAATCTACGAATGCCTTTCAAAATTTTTATTAGAGTTTTTATGAATAATTAAATTCTTTTGACCAGTTTCTTTAAATTATCAAATTAATTATTTTTAACTAATTCAAATTTAAAGAACAGTATAAATATCTATAAAAATTGAAATAAAAAGCGATTTTTTTTTAAAACAAATTAAAATAATAAGACTTTTTTTAATTTGGTGAAAAAATTCCCGGTTTGGCATAAAATTGCAAACGAATTGATACCAAAAAGGTAATCAAAAATTGTCAAATTGATCTAAATTTTTGGTATCAATTTGGATACTTTCAAGAAAATGGTGTTTCTGCGCGACAATTTTTTTAACGTGCGATAAAAAGTTTAATATTTTGATGGATTTTGAGAAATGAGGAAAATTTTTGTTTAAATCAGTCCATACGCGGAAAAAATAACGTCTCTGTTGACATTTAGATATAAATATAAATTAAAAAGTCGTCAAGAAAGACTGAATAATGTGTAATGAAGACAATTTCTTTCCACATGTTATGAAATAAAATATTTTGATGGTAGAACAAAAACACGGAAAATTTACTAAAGTGTTCGGTATATATAGCAATTTTTACTATATTTCTAGAGTAAATTTTACCCATTTTCGAAATAAATTTTAGTCAAATTTACAAAGTTCTTATTTTCTTTTTTGGCAAATTCGTAAAATTAACTTATAGAAATGTAATAAAATATAAAATTTATAATCATCTGTGGAAATATAATAAATATTTTTAGAAATGCTCAGAAATTTTAGATTTTGCTTTATAAAAATATACAGGCTTCATCACAGTGCCTGTAAAAAGAATTTTAGGGAAAATAGAGGACTGAAAATTAAAAAATAGGGGACTTTTAGGGGACTATAAAAATTGTTTAAATAAAGATAAAAATATTATTTATTTATAAGAACACAAACAACGGTAAATATTAATTTACATTTAACAAGTCTTTAAACACACTAAAAAAAAAGTTTTACTTTCAGCCTCTTTTTGAGGCTGAATTTATGATGTAAACGGAGTCAGCCCCGTTAAACAAGGACAGACTTATGTGAAATACATGGGCTGAATTTAAGGTGTAAACGGAGTCAGACTTTTTTTTTCCTGTGAAGTTCAAACATAAATTCCAAATATTTATTTTTACAAAAATTTCTTTTCTTAATTTAAATTTTCATAAAATTTTATTTTCAACTTAATTTTTAAACTAAGATTCTTTTTAAACACATGAAATAAATAAACAAAAAACAAGTTTTTAATCCATTTACATCTAAAAGAACATCTACATAATCAGGGTGGTCACAAGTTTCAGTTTATCAATTTCCCTGACAATTTACTGACATTAAAATCACTTTCCCTGACAAAATTCTTTTTTAAGAATAATATGAATCTTTACAAAAAATAAGTAAATGTTATGAATTTCAATAATTTCTAAAAATTACAATTATAACTTCCTATATACAATTATTTTCTACAACTTTTAAATAAGCTTCATCTTTAAATCAATTATTTTAAATAATTTTTTGAAATTTCTTCTAGAATTCAATTATTTTAATATACAGGAATTCAATTTTTTATGATAATTGTAACTGTCCATGTATTTTTCCTAAATTTTTAAGATATAATATTTTCAAAAAATTATAAAAAAAATTCTTACAATTAATTTTTTAAAAATATTTTCAAATAATTTTTGAAAGGAAATAGTTTTCTAATTATACACAATTGAAAAATTTCCAAACAATTGAAATTTGGTAAAATCTTTTAAAAATAATTGAATTTTTGAAAAACAAATAAAAATTAACAAATCGAAGAATTTTAATTATAAATATGACCATGACTTCTCCGAAATTTTAATAAGTTTGAAAATGTAAGTTTTTATAAATTTTTAATCACTTTCTTCTAAGATAACTGAATCTTAAAAAATTATGATAGAACAATTCTAAGAATTAGATTTTAAAAACATGTAATGTTTCGAAAATAATTGAATTTCTTAAAAGAATTTTTTTATAATTTAAATAAACTAATTAATTTTTTGATAAATTTTAATTGAAATTATTTTGAATATGATTTTTTTCTCCAAAATGTTAAAAATAATTATAAAATCTTATTATTTTTTGTATGTATTTGAATTTTCGGAAATATGTAATAATTGAAAACACAGAAAGTATTGAATTTTAAAAATTTAGAAGCAAATTTTCATAATTTTTTATTGATTTTCATTTTTAAATTTACATCTAAAGATTTTTCATTAACATTATAAAAATCGACAGAAATAAAAATAAGTTGCAGTTTTTTTTTTACTAAAAATTGTGGTATTTTGTTTGAATGTTTGGAGTAAAAATTTAAAGAGTCGCAATTTATGAAAATAAGTGGAAAAAAGTCTCAATTTTTTTAATTTCCCTGACATTTTCCTGACTTTACTGACATGTGGCCACCTTGTTAATCACAATTAAATTGCATCAATTATTACATTTTAAAAAATACTTTAGTATTTTAAAAATAATGTATGTCAGAACAAGTTTGTGAGCGCAGATTATAAGAATTTAAAATACACACAAATACAACCAACTTCTAAACATAATTGAGACTTGACTTCACCAAAATACTAAGCTTACAAATTTTATAAATTTCATCGATCATAAATTTCAAGATTTGAAACTTTCAAAAACGAAAAATTCTAATTTAGTGTGAATTCATCATTAGAAAATAAAAGAAAAAATAGGGGAAATTTACAAAATAGGGTACGTTTAGGGGCCAAAATTAAAAAAAGGGGACTTTTAGGGAAATAGGGGACAGAATGTGAAGCCTGCATATAACTAAAAAGTGTCCACCAAAACATCTTAGAAATGATTACCAAAACATCTTAAATTAAGATATATTTCTTTTTACAGTGATTGTTTTTACACACAGGAAAAAAGAAGTGTTATTTTAACACTAAAAGTAGTGTTAAAACTACACACAACATTTTTAACCGACATTGTATGATTTTAACACTAAATTGGTGTTAAATTAATATACATTTTTAATGGGGTTAAACTAACACCAAAATTGTGTTAAAACAACACCATCTGAAAACTACACGCAACAAATTTAACACATATTTTTTTCTGTGCGCAGTGAAGAAAGAAGTTGAAACTAGTGAACTTTTCAGAATAATTAAAATTGAAAGAGAAATGAAATAAAAAATTTGAATTTTGAAAGAAAATGTCGTTGAAAGAGATGTCGAGGTGAAGTATATAATATATTAAAAACAAGTCGGATCACTAATAAAATGGAAATAAAGTCCAAAGTGATTTATGGATTATTTTGAAAAGTGGGCAAGGCGTTGATTTTTGTGAAAAGCCCTGAAAAAAGTATATAATAATGTATTAAAAAGGGAGAGGCGACTGCGAGTGTTGGAAAACATCTCCTTTAGGTTGTTATTATTATAGAGAGAAAAAGGAAGGCGCCCGTTTGTCCGGCACTGGAACTGGAGTGGGGGAGTTGGGATTGGATGGTAGGAGGGATAACGGGTCGAACGAGCTAACCCGAACCCCAAGCTCGTCTCACCGACTCTTTCTCCTTTCCTCCTCTTTCTCTTCTCTCACTCTGTTAATCTCATCCCCTCTCGCTCCTCTCTCTCC